CTCAAGACTATAAGAGCATTTTCTCAAAACAGTTCATGCATATAGCACAACACTATGGTTTAACTGCAAATGCCTGTAACGTACCCCAAACTCTTAACTCGTGTATCAAAAGCAAGTTATTCCACCAATTACCATAAACCATAGTGCTTGTACTATATTTAGAATTAAGTGATCAGAGGTCATTGTCAACACACCACAGCACACAGTGCGCAACAATGAAATGTGACCTCTGCATTTGACCCATATGTGACTTTCGTAACATAGCAGGGGGCAACTAATTCAGCGCCCAGGGAGCAGTGCTTGGGGACGGTACCTTGCTCAAGGTACCTCAGTGGTGACTTGCTGGTGGGGGATTCGAATCTGCAATCTTTCAATTACAAGTGCGCTACCCTAAGCATCAAGCCACTATATGCATGAACTGTCGTGAGAAATGCTCTTATATGTTAATTGTGTTTAATGTGTATAATGTGCTAAAGCAATCGAGACAGACTGTAATACTATAGATGAGGATAGCAACATGCCTTGTTAGCAACATGCTTTGTTCACGCACAATCGTAATACAGACTGATACAGTGACAGGCATCTGATTCTACTAATCCAGCATTTTCCCTTGTCTTCCGTCGTGACTAAAACCCTGAGAAACTGATCCACTAGGGGCTTCCCCTCTTCTCCGGCAGAGAGACCACAACACAGAGCAGATGCACCCAATTCTCAGTGTTGTGTCTGATTCATATCGGCACAATGCTTCATGCTTCATAAGCCGCTTCACACCATAGAGCAGTGGTTCACATGTACATGTTACATGTACCTCCAGTGAACTCAGAGTGCCCCCAGGTGGTACCAGAAAATGGCAATTTTCTGTGTGTGCCAAAAGCGAAAGAACTGAAATTTGAAATCAATATGAAACTACTTTATGTAAAAAAAAAACATTTGATTATGATATTTTTCATATTCTCTCTTATGACACATTTGAGGAGGGTTAGCATAGCCCGTTCAACACTGCATGCAGCAGTTGTGACTAACGTCATGATCTTCCAGAGACACAGATGAGTGCAGCATTTGCCAACAGAACAAAAATGCAGAAATTTGACATAGTGTCACGGCTGAACTAGCAGGAACTAAACAAACAAACACACACACACACACACACACACACACATATATATATATAAATTATGGCTGTCGAAAATAACGCGGATTAATCCAGCATCATGATTAATCTGATTAAAATTTTTAACGCAATTAACCCATCTGCAGCGCAGAAAGACTCAGAAAAGAAAGACACAGAAAGAAAATCCCTTAAATGTCTCTGTCAACCAATTTCGGGCAGTTTTAGTACGTTCCATTTGCCCTCGGAACTCGGATTCCGAGTCGGATTCCGACTGAGTTTCGAAGCCGGAAGTGATGACATGCGCGCTCCCGTTTCTTGGATAACGCAGAGGATCCCGAGTTCAGAATCGAAGATGGCTGCGCCCTTTATCAACAGAAGGGAAAGTTGTAGTTTTATCCTGTTTAAGCACTACTTCTCATTTGTGGCTCATTAAATCGGTCGCACACACTATAGGCCTACCGTCCAAGTTATCTGTGGACGTGTTGCTACGGAGTTTTAAGCACCGCGCGTAATGTG